TCCTGCGTTGCCTGTTCGTACTGCTCGCACTGGTCGTCGTGTCCCACGTGAGCGTCCTCCTCCTGTCCCTGGCACTCACTACATGACTCTGCGTCCCTCCACTGCTCCTCAGCGTGTCCCTCTGCCGTCTCCTCCTGCGTCCTCTCTACCTACTCTTCCTGACCCGGAGTCTGACTCCCGTCGTGCTGCCAGTCCCACTGTCACGCGTCTCCTCGCCACTGTTGTCACTGACCCTTCCTTTGAGTCCTCTGCTGCGTCTGCTCTGGTCGCTAAGTTGGTTGACTTTGCTGCCCGGTGTCGTCTCGACTACGCCGCTAGCCTTGTTGCTGAGTCTGAGTCTGTCTGTCCTCCGTCCGTCGGGGGTGAGTGTGCTCTTGGCACGGACGTCCTTGAGGACAGACAGGAGGATTTCCAGTGCTTTGCTGCTGCTTTGCCCCATCTCTTTGCCCCTGAGGGAGACCCGGATGCACCAGACATCCCGACCCCGCGCTCTTACGCAGAGGCGATGGCGGGTCCCTACTCTTCTCAGTGGCAGACAGCCATGGACGCAGAGATGGCTTCCTGGAAGTCCACAGGCACCTACGTCGACGAGGTTCCCCCACCTGGGGCGAACATTGTCAGTGGCATGTGGATTTTCAGGGTGAAGCGGCCGCCGGGTTCTCCTCCTGTCTTCAAGGCGCGCTACGTTGCTCGAGGCTTCAGTCAGCGAGAGGGAGTAGACTTCTTCCAGACCTTCTCCCCCACCCCAAAGATGACCACTCTTCGGGTGCTGCACATAGCCGCTCAGCGCGACTACGAGCTTCACTCACTTGACTTCAGCACTGCTTTCTTACAGGGCAGCCTGCACGAGGAGATCTGGCTGCGTCGCCCTCCTGGCTTCACTGGGTCGGTTCCTCCTGGTACCCAGTGGAGGCTCCAGCAGCCGGTCTACGGTCTCCGCCAGGCGCCACGTGAGTGGCACGACACACTGAAGACTACGCTTGCGGCTCTTGGGTTCACTCCTTCTACTGCTGACCTGTCGCTGTTTCTACGCACCGACACCTCGCTGCCGCCGTTCTACATCCTCGTGTACGTCGACGACTTGGTCTTTGCCACTGCTGACAATGAGGCTCTCGCCCACGTGAAGTCGGAGCTGTAGAAGAGACACACGTGCACAGACCTGGGTGAACTGACAAGCTATCTTGGCTTGCGGATCACTCGGGACAGAGCACGGCGCACCATCACCTTGACTCAGTCACACATGGTGCAGCAGATCCTTCAGCGCTTCCGCTTCACGTACTCCTCGCCTCAGTCCACTCCTCTGCCTACCGGTCACTCGCTCTCAGCTCTGCCTTCGGATGAGTCCGTAGAGCCGAGTGGCCCGTATCCAGAGCTTGTGGGCTGCCTCATGTACCTGATGGCCTGCACTCGACCTGACCTTGCATACCCTCTTAGCATCCTTGCACGCTATGTCGCTCCTGGCCGTCACAGGAAGGAGCACATGGATGCCGCTAAGAGGGTGTTGCGCTACTTGTGCAGTACGTCGGGCATGGGGCTAGTGCTTGGAGGGCGAGACCGAGTTGTACTTACTGGACACTCAGACGCTTCTTGGGCGGACGACCAGGCTACTCAGCGGTCGTCTCAGGGTTACACCTTCAGCCTTGGCTCTGGCTCAGTTTCTTGGCGTTCTACACGCTCTTCGTCTGTTCTCAGCTCCAGTTGTGAGGCTGAGATCTATGCCACAGCCATGGCGGCCCAGGAGCTACGCTGGCTGACCTACCTGCTGACCGACTTGGGAGAGCGGCCTCGTTCTCCTCCAGTGCTGTACGTCGACAACAAGGCTGCCATTGCCTTGTGTGAGGAGCACAGACTGGAGCACAGAACGAAGCACATCGCCTTGCGGTACTTCCTTGCTCGAGAGCTGCAGCAGCGCGGTCAGCTTCGTCTGCGTTACGTGGCCACTGAGGCCAACACTGCTGATGTGTTCACCAAGGCGCTTCAGCCTTGTGACCATCAGCGCTTCTGTACTCTTCTAGGCCTTGTGCCTGCTGGACCTCACTTGCTTACTTCTTGACTCTGTTTGTACTGTGATCTCTATATATATACCTGCATGTTTACACTTGCTAGGTTGCGATCACTGTATCTCTTGCTATATTATCAAACTGCATGTGAACTGGTCTTGTGACCGCTTGCTTGTGCTCGGAATTTGTGTGGTATCCTTGAGATCCACCCTGAGCCTGTTTTGCTTTGCTTTGCTTTGACTGGTCTTGTGACCCTCTGGTTGTCTCCCACTTCGCCTATGGGGGTGTGTCAAACATTGTATGTTTATATTGTGTAGGCTATAGTGGGTTTAGCCTTAGAGGGTACACAAACTTAGGGTTTCATACTTGTACCCACCTTCCTGCTAGTTCATCCATTCTCGTTCTATTCTAGATTCTGACAGTTTCCAAATTGGTAAGATAAAAGTGTTAGGCACTTGGTTTTTTAACAACCATAACAATTACAAGAACACACGACACTGTATTTTAGCCCTTTAGAATCAGTTGCGATTGTCAAAATTAAACAAAAAAAAATGCAGGCCAAAACGAGACACGGGGTGGCGCACAAGGTGCAGTGCATTTCGTGGCGAAGTCAGATCTTACAAATCGATGCTTCATGGCTAAGGACGATTCCACCTGGTAAAATTTGATATTTAAGATTTACCGTTTCGAACCATGACATAATGAATATGAATTGCATGCTATGAGTTGTAAAAGAAGAGAGTGCGCATAATTCAACAACACAGAAGTGATTACAACTGCTAACTGAATAATGAACCTAGCACACGTAAAGTAGAAGTCAATCTAGGCAATGTTCCAAAATCGCAAAGGTTGGGTGATGGCTTGGGATTGTTAACCTGAAGGCAATGCAAAGTATCTTTGGGAGTCGAGGTCCATCGGACTGAGCCAAGTCTTCTGAAAGTTACAGAATGACCAAGTAAGAGATTGGAAAAATTCTTTACACTACCCCCACGTTTAAGAAATTTGGTGAATGTTAGGCAAAAACAGTTGGGTAAGTTAAACATTTAAGGCCGAGTGACTCTGTAGCAAGTCCGAGGACACCCACGTATCGTCTTTGCTAGTTCGGTTAGTCCACCAAATTAAAATGTGGACTTAGCCTCCAATTATCGTCAAGTGCACACGATGGGCCAGGATCTTGGAGGGCTTGAGAATGGGCTCTGCGGCATGCCAAATAGTTGGCGCGATATTCTAACGACCGATGACTAAAGACGGGGTGTCGAATAACCACAACAGGTTGACATGGAATGCAACGTATATGTGAAAGTTGCCAGGCAATAATAATCTTGTAGTGTCAGGTGTCAGCATTTTGATAACCCAATAATGCATCACGAACCTCAAACAAAGTATTGCTGGTAAGGGTAACCGAAGGTTCTTCGTATCAAACAGTACTAGCTGTCCAGCATCAAAGAGTAAATCTCGTCGTTGCCTATCGGCATTGCGGCTAGCCACGGTTGTAGATATACTCTGCTTCTTTGTCCGGCCAGCTTGCAGATCAGTGTCGAATTGTTGTGACAGTGGTACTGGATTATCGGGTGTAGTCGATGAGGGTACCATTGCGTGATTAAGGTAGAGCGGGGACTGATTGGTTGTGGCGGAAGGTGCGTTGTTATACGCAAACCCCAACATTGGGGAGGAGTCTTCCCATTTGGACAAGACAGGGTAATTGGTGCGAATCAATTGCATTGTCTGACCGTCGGTTTGCGGTTGGTATGACTACAAAATCTGCAGGTGGGTGCCATATTGTGCCCTCGTCTTTACCAAAATTTCGACATGGATTTTGGGTCTCGATCGCTGATGATCACCGATGGTAACCCGTGTAAGCATACGACTGTCAAACATTATACATGTTGTATTTGTGTAGGCTGTAGTGGGTTAGCCTATAGGGGGGTCACAACATTAGGGTTTCATATTTGTACTCACAATCCTTGTTAGTTCATCATTCCTGTCCGTTCATTCTGACATGGTTTCAGAGCAGGTCCTTCGCTAGGACCGTTTTTTTTAAGGGCCCACCGTTCCCTACCTACCTACCTACCTACCTAGGGCGCCTCGAATTTTTTTTTAACGGCCCCTACCTCCCGCGACCCGCGACCCGCCCCTTAAGGCCCCGTCGCGCCGCCCCTTAGCCGCTCGCGCGCGGTCGTTTTCATACGTGCGCCCCGCCTGCTGCCCGCGCGCGCCTTATTTCCCTCGCGCGCGGCCCGTCGCCTACTCGCGCACGCCCCGCAGCCGCCCGTCGCCTGCTCGCGCACGCCCCGCAGCCGCCCGTCGCCTGCTCGCGCACGCCCCGCAGCCGCCCGTCGCCTGCTAGCGCACGCCCCGCAGCCGCTCGTAGCCTGCTCGCGCACGCCCCGCAGCTGCCCGTCGCCTGCTCGCGCACGTCCCGCAGGCCCGCAGCCCGCTGTCGCAGCGGCCGCCCGCCCGCAGCCGCCCGCCCGCTGCCGCCCGTCGCCTGCTCGCGCACGCCCCGCAGCCGCCCGTCGCCTGCTCGCGCACGCCCCGCTGCCCGCAGCCGCTCGTACGCCGCTGCTTCCGCTGCTGCTTGCGCACTGCTGCCTCCCGAGCGCCGCCGCTGCCTGTGCGCCGCCGCTGCCCGTGCGCCGTCGCTGCTCCTACGCTGCCGCTGCCCGTGCGCTGCCGCTGCCCGTGCACCGCCGTTCCCCGTGCGCCGCTGCCGCCCGTGCGCTTCTGCAGCCGCCGCCCGCGAGGCACTCGCTCTCACTGTTGTTTATTTTCTACCTACCGCGCACACTGCTGCCACTGCAGCTGCCACCAGTGCACCGTTGCAGCTCCTGCTGCCACGCTACCTACTACTGCCGCTCGTGTGCCACTACGGACAGTCGACCCCGCCCGCGCCTTGCCTAGCGGCCCCGCCGGCCCCGTTGACCCTCCGCACACCTTTCCAGCGGCCTGATTCCTACTACTACTGTTACTACTGCTACTACTGCTACTGCTACTGTCGCCATGGCTAGTCCGCCAGTTCTAGCTTTCGATGCCGAGGGCCGTCCAGTGAAGTTCGAAACCTGGCTAGATGACCTGCACCTGTTCCTACAGCTCACTGCCAAGGAAGATATCTCACTGTACGACCACGCCCTAGGCCATGCCACTGCCCCTGACTCGTCTGCTGACAGCACTCTGCGTTCCCAGTGGCAGACCCGTGATGCACACGCTCGCTTTGCTATTCGCAACTCCCTGCCGCTAGACGAGCGCGAGCACTTCGGCCAGTGCAAGACTGCTAAGGACCTCTACACCGCTGTAGTTGCCCGCTACTCCTCACCCGCTTCTGCCACGCTAGGCCGCCTCACTCTCCCCTACCTGTTCCCCGACCTAGCCTCCTTTCACACTGTCGCAGACCTCATCACCCACCTTAAGACTAGTGAGGCCCGCTTTCGCGCTGCTATGCCTGCCGAGTTTCTCACTAGCAACCCCCCCCCGCTCTGGATCACTCTCTACCACATCGTCACCCGCCTCCCTGACTCTCTGCGCGCAGTCAGGGACCACTTCCTCTCTCGCTCCCCCACTGAGCTCACTGTTGCCCTCCTCGAGAAGGAACTGCTTGCAGCTGAGGCGAGCATCGTCGCTGTAGGCACCTCTCGTGGCGACCCCCGCACCCCGTTCTTTGAGGGGTGTTCCCCTTCCCCCCTCCTCCCCTCTGTCGCCTCTGCTGCTGCTGTCGACCTTCTTGGTGCTGAGAAGGTCGGGACCGCGTCTGCTTCGAGCGGGCGCCGCAGGAACAAGGGGGGCAGGGGTGGGGGTGGCGGCGGAGGAGGTGGGGGTGGAGGCGGTGGGAGTGGAGGCGCGGCTGGGGAGACTAGTGGCGGCAGTGGGGGAGGAGACAGCAGCGGTGGGAGTGGTGGTGGAGGCGGCAGCGGAGGCGGAGGTGGTCGTGGCGGCGGCAGGGGTGGAGGTGGCCGGGGCGGCGGCGGTGGGGGTGGTGGTCGTGGAGGCACTGGCGGAGGCCCGAGTCAGCAGCCCGCCCCGACGCTTCAGGCCGCCCGTGAGTGGTATGCGCAGCGTAGCTTTACCTGCACGTACGTCATTCGCACAGGTGACCGCAGCGGCCAGCAGTGTGGGAGGCCGCACCCCACGCAGCGCTGCTTCGCGCGCCTTAACGACGCGTGGCGCACTCAGTTTCCTGCTGCCACTGAGCTGCCGCGCTGGGCTGATCTGGAAAAGAGGGGTGTTGATATTTGGGCTTTAGACTTTGATGCTATTCTCACTGCCATGTATGCAATGTCTATTAGTGGAGAGGGTGCTCAGTACTTGCGTGTTCCGCCCGACCCGGGCATTCAGGCCAGTCCGGCTGCCGCTCTAGGTGCTAGTGCGTCTGCTCCCACAGGTCCTGGTGAGGCTGCAGCCCTAGGTGCTCGTGCGTCCGTGCCCCCTGGTACTGAGTCGACTGCAGCACTGCACACCTTCACACTGGACTCAGGTGCTTCTCGCTCCTTCTTTCGTGACCGCACTGTCCTTGAGCCACTCGCTCGGCCAGTTGCTGTCTCCCTTGCTGACCCCTCTGGGGGTCCGGTCATTGCGACCTCCTCCACTGTCCTTCCTTGTCCGGCGGTCCCGTCCGGCACGCTGTCAGGTCTCTACCTCCCCTCGTTCTCTACGAACTTGGTGGCAGGTAGTGCGCTCCAGGACGGGGGTGTTCACCAGTTCACCCCTGCCTACGAGCGCGTGACACACTGCACGTGTGCTCGGACGGGTCGCCACCTGGCTACCTTCACTCGGGAGCCGGGGTCGGACCTTTACACACTGACCACTGAGTCCCCTCAGGTAGCTGCGTCTGCGTCAGGTCAGCTGTCCGCCCCCTGCTCGTGTCGCTCTCTGGCGCATGAGACTGTCCTTTGGCACCACCGCCTTGGTCACCCGTCTGTGCAGCGCCTTCGGGCCATGCACAAACGGGACCTTGTTGCTGGTCTTCCCAGGGTGCTCCCTCCCCTTCCCGACTCGCCTGCTCCTCCCTGTATTCCCTGTGTCGAGGGACGGCAGCGCGCCGCTCCTCACTCCTCCTCCTTTCCCCCGACGACTGCTCCCTTGCAGACGCTCCACATGGACGTGTGGGGCCCAGCCCGCGTCCGTGGTCAGGGTCAGGAGAGGTACTTCCTGATTGTTGTTGACGACTTCTCGCGCTACACCACGGTCTTCCCCTTGCGCGCCAAGGGTGACGTCCCTGATGTCTTGATCCCTTGGATCCGCAGATCTCGTCTCCAGCTCAGTGAGCGTTTCCGCTCCGACTTCCCTGTCCTGCGTCTGCACTCTGATAGAGGTGGGGAGTTTTCCTCTGGCCTATTGGAGGCCTTCTGTCAGCAGGAGGGCATTGAGCAGTCGTACACGCTTCCGGCCTCTCCACAGCAGAATGGGGTTGCTGAGCGCCGCATTGGTCTGGTCATGGAGGTCGCTCGTACCTCCTTGAGCCATGCGGCTGCCCCCCATTTTCTGTGGCCGTTTGCAGTCCGATACGCTGCGCATCAGCTCAACCTCTGGCCCCGTGTCTCCCTGCCCGAGACTTCTCCGACACTGCGTTGGACGGGAGAGGCTGGCGATGCGTCGCGTTTTCGGGTCTGGGGATCCCGAGCTTTTGTCCGCGACACGTCCGCGGACAAGCTCTCCCGTCGCGCTGTCCCCTGCGTCTTCCTTGGCTTTGTCCCGGACGCCCCTGGCTGGCAGTTCTACCACCCCACCTCGCGTCGTGTCCTGGCCTCTCAGGACGTCACTTTTGACGAGTCCGTCCCCTACTACCACCTCTTCCCCTACCGCACTGCCCCGCTCCCCCCCCCGCCTCTCTTCCTCGCTCCAGGTGCTGAGGTACCAGACCCCCTCCCCCCTCAGGGTGCCGCTCCCTCAGGTGTGTCCCAGGTAGACCCGGGTGAGCCTGTCGAGGTAGCTGTTGACTCTCGTCCTGCTGGGGGTGCTAGGCCTGGGGGTGCTGCGTCTGGGGGTGCTGAGCCTGGGGGTGCTGCGTCTGGGGGTGCTGAGCCAGGAGGTGCGGAGCCTGGAGGTGCTGAGCCTGGGGGTGCTGAGTCTGGGGGTGCTGAGTCTGGGGGTGCTGAGCCTGAGCGTGCTACACCTGGAGGAGCCCTCTCCTCCCAGCAGCTGCAGGAGAGGTACCTCGAGTACTGCCGCCTCCGGAGAGGTGCTGCTGGAGCTCGTCCCGGTACTTCCCCTCCTACCCAGGAGCTCCCCCCCATTCAGCAGATCCGCGAGTGGTACACACGGCGCTGCAGTCTTCGGAGTGGTGCTCCTGGTGCTGCGGACCCTGGGGGTGGCGCTGCTGCTGGTGCTGAGGACCCGGACGTTGGAGCTGCTGCTGGTGCTGAGGACTCGGACGTTGGCGCTGCTGCTGGAGCTGAGGACCCGGGCGGTGGCGCTGCTGCTGGTGCTGAGGACCCGGACGGTGGAGCTGCTGCTGGTGCTGAGGACTCGGACGGTGGAGCTACTGCTGGAGCTGAGGACCCGAGCGGTGGCGCTGCTGCTGCTGCTGAGGACCCGGGCGTTGGAGCTACTACTGGTGCTGAGGACCCGGCTGGTGGAGCTGCTGCTGGTGCTGTGGACCCGGACGCTGGAGCTCCTACTGGTACTGAGGACCCGGCCGCTGGAGTCTCCTCTGCTTCTGGAGACGCTGCGCGGCCGCGACCGTACTTCGTACCGCTCCTTCAGCAGGTTCTTGGGCAGGCTCCTCCTCCTTGTCCTCCTCCCTCCGTAGAGTGTCCTCCGCCTGTCCAGCCGCAGTCACAGTTACTGCCTACCTCGCCTCTCCCTGCTCCCTCTCCTTACACTGGTCCCACAGGAGGTCTTGCAGAGCGTCGTGAGCCTGAGTCTCGTCCTGCGTCGCCTGTTCGTCCTGCTCGCACTGGTAGTCGTGTCCGTCGTGAGCGTCCTCCTCCTGTCCCAGGCACTTGTTAAACTGTGTTATGTTGGTAGGCTGTAGTGGGGTAGCCAGTATGGGGTACAACCCCAACTAGGGTTTGCTACTTGTACCCAATTCTTCCATTCAATGACACATTCTTGCTTAGTCCTGTTGACATGGTATCAGAGCAGGAGGTCCCTAGGACCTATCGACCGTTTCTTTTAAGGGCCCACCACCGCTCGCATGCGGTTACCACGCTACCCCGTGCCCTAGCCTCGTAGCGCCCTCGTGCGTCCTCGTTAGCGCCCTCGCGCGCCCTCGTTAGCGCCCTCGCGCGCCCTCGTTAGCGCCCTCGCGCGCCCCTCGTTAGCGCCCTCGCGCGCCCTCGCTAGCGCCCTCGAGCGCCCCTCGTTAGCGCCCTCGCGCGCCCCTCGCAGCGTCGCCCGCCCGCCGAGCCGCCTGCTCGCAGCGTCGCCCGCCCGCCACGCTGCCCGCTCGCCGCCCGCCCGCCGCGCTGCCTGCTCGCAGCGTCGCCCGCTCGCCCCGCTGCCCGCTTCGCAGCCCGCTCGCCCCGCTGCCCGCTTCGCAGCCCGCCCGCCCGCTCGCTGCCCGCTTCGCGGCCCGCCCGCTTCGCTGCCCGCTCGCAGCGTCGCCCGCCCGCCCGCTGCCCGCTTCGCAGCGTCGCCCGCCCGCTTGCTGCCCGCTCGCAGTGTCGCCCGCTCGCCCGCTGCCCGCTTCGCAGCGTCGCCCGCTCGCTCGCTGCCCGCTCGCAGCGTCGCCCGCCCGCCCGCTGCCCGCTTGCAGCGTCGCCCGCCCGCCTCGCTGCCCGCTTGCAGCGTCGCCCGCCCGCCCGCTGCCCGCTTGCAGCGTCGCCCGCCCGCCCGCTGCCCGCTTCGCAGCCGCCCGCCGCGCTGCCCGCTCGCCGCGTCGCCCGCCCGCCCCGCTGCCCGCTTCGCAGCCCGCCCGCCGCACTTCCCGCCTGCAGCGCCGCCCGCCTCGCCTGCTGCTCCCTGCCTGTGCACCGCCGCTTGCTCCTGCTGTGGCTGCTAGCTTCGCTCTAGCGCGTCCCCTCTGCTGCTGCCGCTGCTCTGCTGTGCCCTCACGCCTGAGCTATGGCCTCTATTCGCGTTCTTTCCTTCGATGCTGAGGGCCGTCCCGTGCAGTTCACTTCCTGGCTCGACGACCTGCAGTTGTATCTTATGAGCAATAGCACGGACCACATCTCCCTCTATGACTACGCGTCTGGTGCTGCCGCTGCTCCTGCTGCCACAGCCGAGCTTAGTGTACGTTCACAGTGGCAGACTCGTGACGCTGCAGCTCGCCTGGCTATTCGCAGTCACCTGCCGTTAGCTGAGCTAGAGCACTTTGGCGACTGCAAATCGCTAAAGCCCTATACGACGCTGTCGTTGCTCGCTACTCCTCACCTGCCACAGCCGAGCTTAGCCGTCTCATGCTGCCTTACCTGTTCCCTGACCTGTCCACCTTTGCTACAGTCGCCGATCTTATCACCCACCTTCGCACTAGTGATGCTCGCCTGCGTGCCGCCCTTCCCACCGAGTTCTGCGCTAAGAACCCCCCTCCCCTGTACTGGGCACTCCACTTCATAGTCACCCGTCTCCCTGACACCCTCAGCTCAGTGCGCGACTATTTCCTTGCTCGCTGTCCCACTGAGCTCACTGTCGCCCTCCTAGAGGAGAAGCTGCTAGCAGCCGAGAAGAGCATTGTAGCTGTAGGTGCTGCTCGCGGCGCTCCTCGCACCCCCATCTTTGAGGGGTGCTCTCCCTCTCCCCTCGCTCCCTCCTATGCTACTGCTGCTGCTGTTGACTTCCTTGGTGCTGAGTCTGCTGGCGCTGCTTCTGCTCCTGGTGGGAGGCGCCGCACCGGCAAGGGCAAGGGGGGCAAGGGTGGCGGGGGTGGCGCTGGGGGGGGAGGGGGTGGGGGAGGTGGGGGGGGAGGCGGTGCTGGAGGGAGCGGTGGCGGGAGTGCCGGTGGGAGTGGGGCCGGCGGCGGAGGCGGGGGCGGCGGCGGGAGCAGTGGCGGTGGTGGCAGCGGCGGCAGTGGCGGCGGTGGCGGTAGTGGCGGTGGCGGTGGCGGTGGTGGCGGTCGGAGCGGAGGTAGTGGCGGCGGTGGAGGTCGGAGTGGAGGCACCGGCTCGGGCCAGAGCTCCCAGCAGCAGCAGCGTCCCCAGTCGACCCAGCAGCTTCGTGAGTGGCTTGCTCAGCGTGGGACGTCGGGGGGCAGTGGCCGCTGTTCCTATGTCATTCGCACAGGTGATCGCAAGGGGCAGACGTGTGGAAAGTTCCACACTCAGTACCGCTGCTTCTTCCGCCTTGACGACGCTTGGCGTGAGGAGATGGGCGAGGATGTTGAGCGCCCTCGCTGGGCTGAGCTGATGAGGGCTGGTGTTGATATCTTTGCTCTTGACTATGATGCTATTATTGCTGCCATGTATGCATTGATTGTTAGTGCCGAGGGAGACTGTTACTTGTGTGTGCCGCCTGACCCAGGTATAGGGCCCGCTGCCCTAGGTACTAGTGAGTCTGCTCTCTCAGGTACAGCACCCACAGAGACTGCTCTCTCAGGTACTGCACCGGCTGAGACCTGTCACACCTTCACCCTTGACTCAGGTGCTTCCCGCTGCTTCTTTCGAGACAGTACTGAGCTCACACCGCTTCCTGCACCGGTCCCAGTCTCCTTGGCTGACCCCTCTGGGGGCCCAGTCCTTGCCCAGTCCACCACTGTGCTCCCTTGTCCGGCGGTTCCGTCTGGCTCGTTGACGGGTTTCCACCTCCCCTCGTTCTCGACGAACCTGGTGAGCAACGCTGTCATCCAGGATCAGTGGGTTGACACCTTTACCCCTGGAGGACAGCGTGTGGCGATCTGCACGTGCTCCAGGACCGGCCGTCACCTGGCTACGTTTACTCGTCGGCCGGGGTCGAGTCTCTACACACTGACCACTGCGTCTCCTCAGGTCGCTGCTGTTGGTCAGGTGTCCGCGTCAGGTCTGGTGGCCCACGCCTGTGAGTGTCGTTCCCTGTCGCACCAGACTCTTCTCTGGCACCACCGCCTGGGTCACCCCTCCTTGCCACGCCTCCGTGGCATGCACCGTCGCCGCCTTGTGTCTGGTCTTCCCAGGTCCCTCCCTCCTCTCCCTTCCTCGCCTGCGCCGCCTTGCCTTCCTTGCGTCGAGGGGCGGCAGCGCGCCGCTCCTCACTCCTCCTCGTTCCCCCCGACAGGGGCTCCTCTGCAGACCCTCCACCTGGACGTGTGGGGCCCAGCCCGCGTTCGTGGCCAGGGCGGTGAGCGGTACTTTTTGCTGGTTGTCGACGACTACTCGCGTTACACCACGGTCTTCCCCTTGCGCACCAAGGGTGAGGTCCCTGCTGTTCTGATCCCTTGGATCCGCACAGTTTGTCTCCAGCTCCGCCGCCGTTTCCGGACGGATCTTCCTGTCCTGCGTCTGCACTCTGACAGAGGTGGTGAGTTTTCCTCCGACCTCTTGAGGACCTTCTGTCAGGCGGAGGGCATCGAGCAGACCTTCACGCTTCCGGACTCCCCACAGCAGAATGGGGTTGCTGAGCGCCGCATTGGCCTGGTCATGGAGGTCGCTCGTACCTCCTTGGTCCACGCGGCGGCTCCCCATTTTCTGTGGCCGTTTGCTGTCCGGTACGCCGCGCATCAGCTCAACCTCTGGCCCCGTGTCTCCTTGCCGGAGACCTCGCCCACACTGCGTTGGACGGGGGAGGTTGGTGATGCGTCGCGCTTCCGGGTGTGGGGTGCTCGTGCCCTTGTCCGCGATACGTCCGCGGACAAGCTCTCCTCCCGCACGCTTCCCTGTGTCTTCCTTGGCTTTGTCCCTGACGCGCCGGGCTGGCAGTTTTACCACCCCACCTCGCGCCGGGTCTTCGCCTCTCAGGACGTCACCTTTGACGAGTCGGTCCCTTTTTACCGTCTCTTCCCCTACCGTACTGCCCCCCTCCCTCCCCCGCCGCTTTTCCTTGCTCCTGGTCCCCCTCCGGTAGACCCCCTTCCCCCTCAGGGTCCTGCTCCTTCAGGTGTCTCTCAGGTAGACCCTCCTCCCGTCGCTGAGCCTGTCGAGGTCACAGGTGACTCAGGTGCTGCTGCAGGTGGTGCTGCTGGGAGTGCTGAGCCTGCGGGTGCTGGGCCTGGGGGTGCTGGGACTACGGGTGCTGGAGCTGAGGGTACTGTGCCTGAGAGTTCGGCGCCTGGGGGTGCTGAGCCTGGGGGTGCTGCGACTGGGGGTGCTGAGCCGGCGTGTGCGGAGTCTGGGGGTGCTGAGTCTGGGGGTGCTGCGCCTGCGGGTACTGAGCCTGGGGGTGCTGCTACTGAGCCTACGGAGCCTCGGGTTGCTGCGTCTGGGGGTGCTCCGGTTCGGGGTGCTGAGCAGTCTCTCACACCACAGCAGCTTCGTGACTGGTACGTCCGGCGCTTTCGCCGTCCTAGTGGCTCGGCTGGAGCTGGGGGTACTGGAGCTGCCGGGACTGGTTGTTCTGGGAGCACTACGACTGGAGCTGCTGGAGCTGGGGACTCTGGAGCTGGCGGCGCTAGCGGAGTTGTAGCTGCCGACTCTGGGGGTGCTCTTCCTTGCGGTGCTGCGGACCCTGGGGGTGGTGCTGCTGCTGGTGCTGCGGACCCACCTGGTGGAGCTGCTGCTGGAGCTGAGGACCCGAGCGGTGGCGCTGCTGCTGGTGCTGGGGACCCGGACGCTGGAGTCTCTTCTGCTTCTGGAGACGCTGCGCGGCCGCGGCCGTACTTCGTACCGCTCCTTCAGCAGGTTCTTGGGCAGGCTCCTCCTCCTTGTCCTCCTCCCTCCGTAGAGTGTCCTCCGACTGTCCAGCCGCAGTCACAGTTACCGCCTGCCTCGCCTCTCCCTGCTCCCTCTCCTTACACTGGTCCCACAGGAGGTCTTACAGAGCGTCGTGAGCCTGAGTCTCGTCCTGCGTCGCCTGTCCGTACTGCTCGCACTGGTCGTCGTGTCCGTCGTGAGCGTCCTCCTCCTGTCCCAGGCACTCACTACATGACTCTGCGTCCCTCT